ACACCTTTTCAGCAAGTCTTCTGGGCTACTGCCATAGTCGCCCTTTCCAGTTAACCAAGTGCATCCTTGATCTCCTCGCGTTACGAATCGCACCTCCACCTTCCCTCTCATTTGGGACTGTGCTTAAGAGAAGCACAGCATAAAAATAAATAAAAGAAGCCAAAACACTCTGTGCTTGCTCGCAAGGCGAGCAAATCTGAGCTGGGCTTTCTAGCATCTCTGGGCTCCCTTTAGGAAGGACTGCCTTGGAAAACAAAGTAACAAAAAAACACCCAATGGACCACTGTAATAAGCACTGATATTCTCTGTTTTGTTCCTGGTGCTCTAAACACATCACGAGGTCAAAGTAAAACTCAGTAGCTCTTTTTAAAAAAAAAAAAAAAAAAAGAAAAAAAGAACCATGGATAATTCCTATTACTCACAAGTTATGACAGAGCGCACAGACCTGAAATTGCTTCCCTGATCTGAAACGGAAACCGCTGCCTCCTTTTCAAAGCATAAATGTGCTGCTGCCAAAGGAAAAGTCAAAAGAATTAAAGGTAAACGCTGCTGAGAGACAAAAGCAATGTCTAAATATCAACACATCCAAATGATATCTTAAAATCTTCGTATAAAAACCTACCACACCAACTCCAGTGAAACAAAGCCTGCAAAACTCTGCTCAGCTCAAAACCGTTCTTCCTTCAGCAAGTGCTGTAATACCGGGCCAACGTATTTAAATCACGCGTGCACAAAAACGGAAACCATCACGCTCACGTTCATAGGCAAACATTGATTTTGTAAAAGCGATTATCCATTCTGCGCTTGCTACACTTGTTCGTAAGAACAAATCAAATGTAAATTACTCTCAATGGCTGAGGAGCTCAAGCGGTCTTAGGGCAACCACCGCTGGCAACCGCCAGTGAAAAAGCAAATTCAGTGAGTGAATGTATTTCCACCACTAGAGAACGTTATTCCAAAAAAAAAAAAAAAAAAAAAAAGTCAGCCTCACCTTAACTTTAAGCACAGAAGAAAACATTTTTGCATCTTCGGACACTCCTCCAATGTACATTTTTTTGGTAAAGACAGGAGCATGGTCGTTTTCATCCTGCACTTCAATGAACACCTTGGCTGTATTACCTGAAACGGGGAAATAAACGCATGGGTGTATCATTGGGCAATAAATCTTCATATGGTTTCACATCTTTTACAGACAAAACAGATCACCCAGAACAAGTGCGCTGGTAACACTGCAAAAACAAATATTTGAAACAACGGCGCGCCTGGTAAGAAAAGGAGGAACTTGACATAAACCAAGGGATCCCGTGTATTTTTTTTTCCACCTACCTCTATGCTTTTTGCATTACCCTTTTGATTTGACCGAATCTTGATTTAACTTTGAGCTCAAATTTGTTTCCTTAAAGAAAATATTCCCGTCATCCAGACGCAAGGAATCGGGGGGTCTCTGCATCGGCACGCAAGCCAAAGGGCTGCCAGGGCTTTCTTCAAAAAGGAAGCCCTTTGGGGGAAGCGGAGCCAGGGACCTGCAAGTAATTTTTCAAGTAAGTAAAAAGGCGCAGATAAGAACAAACACACAGTAGGCTTCACTACGCCTGCTTGCTGCCATAAAGCACAAATAGCTGATCAACTGACCATGCGTGTGCTACGCTGTCTCAACCGAGCCCACGCCTAAGCCTGCCTTGACCACACACCCAGCCTACGTCGCCGGCGTGCAACAGCTTCACAGTTTCACCTCCCTTTGAGGTTCAACACACCTTAAAGCAAGAGAGAGCTGCTAATTTGGGTTTCATTAAGCCAGTTCTAGCTACTGATCGGCCACGCTAAACAAAAACAATCTCTTTCCTCTGAGGGAAGAAAAACTTTCCGGCAGAAACTAGGGATCTACTGCAAAAAGAAGATGCAACCTCACAGCAATCTGCACCAACAGCTGTTTTCTCTTTCACAATTGTATAATCCAGAAAGACTGCTGGGAACAAGCACATCCAGTTCATTAAAATCACATTTGCAAGTGATAAATCGCCTCATTTCAGAGTCGGTCTTCCCACCGCGTTTGAGCGCCAGGGTAATTTGAAGGTTGCGCCGGTGCCGCGCTGATCTGCCTGAGCTTCAAAACACGGTCGCATCTGACAAGAGCTGAGTAGCTGCATCTTCGGGGGGCGAAAAAACTAAATCCCAGACTATTTCTTAGACTTGCCAAAGTCACCGACAATATGACGTCTAACTGACGGTCCAGCTCAAGGGAAACAGATGAGGACCTCATAAAAGTAACCGAGAAAATCCTTTAAAATATCATAGCTTTCAGAGAAAAGAAACATTCCAAACACTTTAGTTTTAAAACGTATGAATAGGCAGAAAAGGGAAAGAAAAAAGGGACACTTCCTCAGAGCACTAATCCGCTGTTATTTGCTTTTCACACTGAGCTTGCAGATAAACTAAGCAACCTGTAGGTGCTGTTACTCCACCAGAAAATTACTTCTACGCATGCGAAAAGGAGCTATAATCCAACGCAATGACTTAAACGCCCGAAGAAGGTGAAAGGCGGGGGCTTGTGGTTTCTTCTACAGACCATCTCTACCCCTCTCTACGGTTTGCTTATGCATATTTTAAACGCATCCTTCTTCCTTCCTTGACCGTGCTATTTAATACAGCGAGGAAAAATGTCAATCAAAGGGCTATTAGGAGCCGCTGCGAATAGTCAATTCTCCCTGTTGTTAAACCACGTTTTTAGCGTGGCTGGCTGCAATACCAAGCACAGGTAGGAACCGCAGCCCCATCGAGAAAAATGAGGTTCCCGGGCCGGCTTCTTCATTGCAGCTACATCCTTTAGAGAAGCAGGCGATTCAAGCAGCGCTGCAGGCAACGCGTGTAAGCGACCTTGCCCTGCTGAGCTAATAAACACTTACATCGGCGGCTGGCACCAGTAGGCTACTGCTGCAGGGCGACCCTGACATAGGTCAGGGCTCCACTGTGCAAGACAGTCTAAGATGCAAACACTAAGACACAAAAAAGCCAACGTGCTTAATAGTCTACATTTAACTGAATTAGAAAAAGCTATGAATACTTAAGGTCATTCGGGGTGCAGCATCGCACCTTAAGCCACTATTCCAGCCTTTTAAATCCAGCGTCACCAGAAAATCTAACGCTCCCCTCCATTTAAACGTAGCAGAAATACACTGCAATTGTATAGGACAAAGGCGTAACAACAGTAACTCATTTAAGGAGTGACTTCAGTTCTGCCGCACGTAAGAATGATTTTGCACGATTTGGCACCACCAATATCATGTTTAACTGCTTAACTCACCAGTATTACGTTCTCATGCTCCAAAGGACCATAGTATTTTCTCCCTCGTTTATTGATTCTGTACCACCGTGACTGAGTGACAAGGGTTAGTTACGCTTGACACGGGATCGCCGACTTTTCCACTCTGCAGACGAAAACCTGAACTCCTAACCTTCTGTAGTTAGCAACTGTAATATCAAACAGCTGAAAATAGCTTGGTATCTAACTTCCGAGTTTTCAAAACGCAGCGCTTTTGCGGCCCGCTCATCGGTGCGGCATCACCTAGCTCCCAAAGGGCTCCTCGTCCCAGCTCCAGAGCGGCTCATCACTCCACTGCCAGCAACCCCAGAACGGTTCACCAAATTCAGTGGTCTCTAACGCTAACTTTTGTCACGTCGCCGCCATCGAATAGCAGAGTGGTATATTAACTCAGTGTCACTTCTTGAGACGTGCACTCAAAGTCACCTATCCCCACAGTGGTTCATCCCTTCAGTGTCACCAAAGCCTAGGGTGGTGCATTAATTCTGTCCTATCTCCCACCGCAGTTCGTCAATCCAGTGCCATGAAACTCTGAAGTAGTATATAACTTGATTAAAATTCATCAAGAAAGGAACAGGTGACGAGAACATAGGAAGGCACACACCAGATGCAGGAACCATACCTAAGAGGTCAAGCAACATCCATGACGAGGAGATAGGCAATTTATTTCTGCACCGTTAGCCAGGCGTCCGTAAAACGGCCAAGACAGGAGAAAAAAATACAAGGGGCCTTTTTGCATTTCTAACATCTGACAGACGACATTGCTGTCCACCGAAAATTGTATCCTAAGCTACACAGTCATAATCTTTGTCCCAGAGGGTTGAGCACCAGCGTAGGAAGAAGATCCGTTAGACCTGAACAAAAGACACGCTGTTCACAGGTAAGGTTCGTAAGACGGTAAGAAA